AGTCATTGCAGAAATTGAAGTACAAGGCACCGAGGTCGAGGATATTGCAGTTCCATAATTACCTATGACCTGATTTGAGTAATATGCAGTGTAAAGAAAAAAATAGTAATAAAAGCCTACTTGACTAGCTCGATTTACGTGTAATACAATCAGGTAGAGGAAAATAATTGCTGCCATGAACTCAGCCAGTATTGCAATTTAATACTACTTAATTACTACTGTATACTTGATCTGTTTTATGCAGGTTGTTGAGGTACAGCTATTACTAATCATGTCCAGTCCTTTACTTTAAATCAAATTAAAAGGGAAAAATGGTATTGTTTAATAATAATAGTACCGAATAACGTTAATGGACTATTGAATACCTTTGCAGGAAAGTCAAATCGCGTATAAACTTATCATTATGGTACTGCATAATAAATTTATGATTAAAATGCAAAGAACTCTTAATGCACTGCACGAAGTGAAAGAGTGTCAATGGATTGGAAAAATAGAGTCCCTATCAACGATTAACGTTAGCTCACTATTGTAGTCTATGTTTGCAGGCCTGCTTTCTATGATGAGTGAAATGTTGGCAAATTTCGGAGCTACGACTACGTCAGCCTACTCATAGTGCATGGTAACTTTAAGGCACGATATTGGCAATTCGAACAACGTTGTATCTACAAGCCTGCAGTTCATCGGAATGTTACGAACAGTAATCGATTACATTACTCGAATTAATTTACAGCTATGTTTTTTAAATAAATAAAAAATGAGGTAAAATCCGTAAATGTCGATCGCTGAACTGGTATATCTTATTGACAGCATACGTGTACAAGCAAATGCAGACTTGAGCTGCAATGGTGACCTTTTAACCAGCAAAGTTTTCGCTCGTTTGAAAGGCTGTTATCATTGCATAACGAATGTACTAAATCAAGTATCTTCAAGATCTTGTAACATGACGATAACTGAATGTACTGCATGTTTGTAATTTTATCTACACTTTACAATGGTTCTAGAATGGAAGAGAGTCAAACTTCGTTTCTTGTTTGCCACTAATTATACGTATATAATATATATAATACGTATGCAAGTGGAGGAGATCACATTGGTTCAATCTCTCGCTGCATGGTGTAATAGTTATGTGTTTCGATCGTGGAGCAAATTGAACTTGGCAGTTCATAGTTACAGTATAATTCATAAAAGAGACTGTCGCTGCATTGTACAGAATACAGTATAGATTGTAGATAGGTCACTGAAGTTTATTCTCACAACTGGACTCTGTCCATAAACAAGTACAATGCATCCTGCCAAGAAGTAGCAGCTGCAAACTTACAGAATAATTATAAATTATGTATGGGTTCGCCTGCCGCAAACGCTGAATGATTAAATAGTACAGTATACCGTGTCTCGGCTCTCGGCTATACTACTCCATATAAACTCAGTAGAGTTCAGTCGTTCATTTGCCGTATTCATTGTTCATATGGTAAAAGGGAATCTAATTTAGCTCCATTGGCCGCTGCACCATTACCGTGTTGTGTACTACATTACATCATTATTTTCACTTTAGTCCTATTTAAAGAGCATTACTAGTGCACGATGTTGCTGTAGTTTATGAATTGGAAGTGGTTTTCCGCGAAATATGTTTAATGCCAATTTAATGAAATAAACAAGTTTCATTTTTTAATTGCTACCATGTCAAAGGCAAGGAATCCAATGTCATTGACACATTGATTAACCTATAGCTATTCTTTAAAGTGATGACGCAGCAGTCATAAAGCAACCTCATTGGCTAGCGTTGAGTGCCCTACATACCGATCTTATTTGTTGTCAGTGGGGAAATTAGGTTATCTTATCCATTGACATTTAACCTTAGTGGATTGATGCTTATGCCTGCTTAGGACAGCCCTTTCAACTCAGTGTTGACGGTGCAAGTTGACCATGTCACTAACTGTTATAGTGTACTTTAGAAGTGCATATTTATTTAAGATCATATAAATAGTTCACTAGCTAATCTTATGATAATGTAATCATTCTAATCATTGTACCCTTGTTAATCAGTACAGTAACCTTGCTCTTTGTGGAGAATGTACGACAGTACGAGACAGTTACAGTAAATTGTGTACTGCCTATTGTGATATTGTACTATGCTGGACACTTGGTACTGTACAGTACAGTGATAGCCTACAAATGGATAGTCACAGTTTACGAAGGAAAAAATGCATGTGATGTCATGAACTCGTTAGTCGTTTGCAGGAGCCTACGGGCAAGAACGACTTTTGTGCTCTATTGCTAATGAGAGTGTATTTGTAGAACATTATGAAGTGGGTACAATCTTCCAAATTGGCGTTACTGTATCAAGTAATTCATACGTGATCATCATACCTATAGACATACAGTAATTGTGAATATGTGAAAGTTACGTAGCAACAATAGTGACATTGCAAATTTTTGCAACTCATGATAAGCAAGGTACTGTAGCTTAGTAGCAATGGTATGATAGAGGACTTTTTTTTTTATGTCTTCTTTATAGTACTACTCGTCTTTTTCTCTCAATGAGTTAGTTCAATGTCAGCTGTATGGGGGAATAAAATGAGAACAAGCATGCGTGAGTGATACTGTCGTGTAGACTGGATGGCTGTAGCAATGCTAGTTATGCTATTATTGCATGCCATAAGATTGTTGAAATGTTTTGCAAAAATTAATGTAGTACTGTATTATGGCATTAGACAATTGACATTGGGCAGTATATTAAGCAGGGTTAAGTTAGGCGTCCATAGTCCATACGGCATGTGACAAGGCATTTCGATGCGTATGCAATATGACTGTAGAACATTCTTGAATAATACAATTAAGCTGCAAGCGGTTTCATATTGTGCATATAATTATTTATTTATTTATTTTAAATTTCACAATGACTTCTAAGGACAGCTGCTGTTCTAATACATATTGCAAAATTGAATGCACCTCGTCGTAGTGGATCCTACTGGGAAAGGTACAATACGTTGTAGTACTGTACAGTACAGTCTACAGTACAGTACAGTCTACAGTACAGTACAGCGTCGTTTCCATGTCGAGTCCAGTCCGTGTTCCAGCCTGTGTGAACAACAACACAGTTCAATAAGTTCATCAAGAATTGCGTTCTAGTATGGTACCGTCCTGTACTATACCGTACCGTACTGTACTGTACTGTATCGTACCGAATGTGGTTGAAATTCAATCAAAGAAAGAAAAGACAATGGAAATGCCACTACAGTGCCTTATTTGTCGATTAGTCAATCGACCTTTAGTACTGTACAGTACGGTACAGTAATTACCAAGTCAATTTAATTGACTGGTACATTCATCGCCAATTTCATTCCTTGAGCACCACCAGCTAGAGCAAAAAGTACGCGCAATTCCCTTTGGCACGTAGTCTATCGCATTCTACAGCATTTAGAGGTAAGAAAATGAAATTGTCGATAATTTTAACTAGCGCAAGACGACCATTTCTTTCTTTCATGGTAATCCTACTTCAGTTGGAATGCTATTTCCTCAATTTTGCAGTGAAAAATTTTTTTTCGAAGCCAGTTATTTACTGTAGTCAGTGTTGCAATGACGCTCGTTGAATTCTTCATACTCTCTTTACCAGTATGACGCTAACTAAGGTGAATTGACTTGATTAATTCATTTTGCAACGCATGGTGAGATTGACCCTAACTCGATAACTAGCCTATCATGTATATTTTATATGCATTGGATCATTTTTAATCCTCAAAATTACCTTTGTATGACTTGAAAAATCAACTGCTTAACGAAAAGGAGGAAAGAATTCAAGTCATGCTGATTAGTAGAAAATCAAGCATAGTTACCAAGCTGTTGTTGTCTTCCTGTAGCTGTATTTTTGTTTTTTTACCGATAAAATTTTTTTTCTTGTGGAGATCAATACAATAAGTCATTGTATAGCTAACTTGTATTTTTTTTTCTTTTCTTGTGATATGGATTGTGTAGAGGTCTTTCTCTCTTCCTTGACCTATTGAAGCATTATTATTCAGCCTTGTCTCTGTTTGTTATTACTGCATCAACTAGACAAAGTCAGCATTATTATTCAAATAGACACTGTTGTTCAGTACCATTCATTGAGAATAGACACAGACACTAAGACTACCGGTTAAGAGAAAAGGTTACTGGTCGATCCTGTCAGTTATACATTAACCGAACAGGAATTACTTCAAGACAGCACGAAAAAAAACAACATCAAGCTGAGTCTGAATTTTTCCCCTCGACTTATCTACATTGTCAACTTAATTGGACTGCAAGCTTATCTCCTCTTAACGACATTACACTGACTTTGAAAATCATCCAAGCTTACTAGAAAAGAATTAGGGAGAAAAATTTTTTCTTTTCCCCATACTCAACAACTCATTAGCCTTTTACGCCAGTTAACAAAATCAAAGAGAAATTAAAGATTTATATAAAGCATCCTGAAGAAAACACGACGCAATTTCATCAGTGATTGATAATTATCATTTACGGTGAGAAAAAATATTGTTATTCATTACAACGGTTAATCAATCGTAGAGGTTTTTTATCTTTGAACGGCTTAATTTTCTAGTATACATTGACTGACTATTTAATGAATATTTAAATACAGAAAGGAAGTGGGTACTATTATACGCACTACCTTACCGGTCCTGTTGAAAAAGACAAAAGAGGCGACTTCTTCTACTTTGCTTGTCAGCGGCAATTAATAAAGCGCCGAGTGATCTTATCAAAAAGGAAAGGAAACTGATATTTGCGGAGTCTTGTTTGAACTATTTTTTTCGATAAATTGATTCCCTCAAAGCTGAATCTATTCATTTCCTTTTCGCCTTACGTGTGTGTGGGTGCAACGTGATTCGATCTCAACGGTCCAGCTGTTAATAACTTGGGTCACGCAGTAATCGCTTGAACCCTTTTGCTTCGTTGCAGTCAAGTGATTTTAGACTGTCAAAAATTTTTTTTCAAATCCCTCCAACCCCCACACTAGATTGATCATCATGGCCTGTGAATTATTTTCATTAATTTCTCCTCATTGGACAAATTCAACGTATGCTAAAGTTGATCATAATGAGTTAAACATTGAACGCCTATTAGGTAGCGGCGGTTTCGGTTCAGTTTATGAAGGTACCTACGGTAGTAAAAAAGTTGCAATTAAAAAACTACATCAACGTGGTAAAAATGAACGAGCGGCATTGGATAGTTTTAAAGCAGAGGTCCTAGCTATGTCGCTTTTACACCATCCTAACATTGTTGAAACTGTAGCGATATCGACAGCATCTGATTGCCTACATGATTATCCATTACTTATTATGGAATTAGCTGGCAGTCGTAACTTACAGGAGGTCCTCAACGATACCGATACGGAAGTGATCGATGTAAAAAGACGATTAAAATTTGCTCATCAGATTGCAATGGCATTGGAGTACACTCACTCATTTGGTATTGTGCATTTAGATTTAAAGCCTGCTAACGTCTTGATTACACCTGAAGATAATTGTAAGTTAGCCGATTTTGGATGTAGCCAAACCGTCCAAGAAGATGGCTCATGCGTTAATAGCCCGACACGGTCTTACTTAACTGGTACTTTTGCTTATACAGCACCGGAGTTATTACGTGGTTGTGATCCAACTACTAAAGCTGATATCTACTCATTTGCAATTTGTTTATGGCAATTAATTGCACGAGAGCGACCTTATGGATGTGAAAATCCACACGTCGTTATTTTTGCTGTAGTGGCATACAATCATCGTCCACCGATTACCACGCAAATGGAAATGGAAGAAGATTACCAGCATTTAGTTATGCAAGGTTGGAATGCTTGTCCATCTGATCGTCCAACAGCAGCAGACTGTGTTGAAGTATTAAAAAAGTTACAGCAATAGCCATCTCTTCTTATATACTACTATAATAAATAAGCCATCATCAATTTTTTTCCGCGTTCGTTGGCCTTTTCATGACACTATTATTTGGATTCAAAAGCGAGTAGCTGGAAATACTGTATGTACTAAGTAAAGGGTTGATATAGTAGTATGTGGGAAAAATTTTTTTTTCGATTTTTAATAGTTTCTTTCTTCACAATTTTTTTTGGAAGGGGAGAAAAAGAGCTGTAAAGCTATATCCTTCCTACAAATCATCAATCGTTGAATTAAAGTCATTGAGTCAGTGATCGTTATGTTAACTAAGTTATATCTACCGATTGTACAGTACCATGTCGATAGATGGTCTGTCTAAATCTACGAAATTAGTGAAATAGATTCGTTTTGCAATTTGGCAAGGCAGTTATATCTTCGCGTATCAATATTGTTCGATTGTATACTTTTTCCAACTATACTGTATAGTACATATATTATTCAACTGAACGTATAAATGATCTCGTTTAGCCATATTTCTCCGTAATTTATAAAGTATGCCCATATGAAAACTAGTCTTGGTACAGAAGCATACGACAGCGTTTATTCTCTAAATTAAAACTTTATCATGCAAAATTTATTAGACGGAATATATTTGTCGACGATCTTGTTAATCTGACATGTTTAAGAATTTTTTTTGTATATTTTAAAGACTAATGGAAATGATTTGTTGAATGAATCATGAAATCAATCTTGATGGTCGATATTGGTTATCATTCATGTTCTATATTTATTAGTTATTCTATTTGCTTTAAATAGTGTACCCAAGGTACTATTAATTATGATATGAGTTATTTTCGAGATCGTTAAAAAATTTCTAGTATGATGAAAACATTTTGTTAGCCTACTACGCTTTATCGGCGTTTATTGTATTATAGTCCATTTGCAGTCTTCATTTTCATCATGAAAACTACGTATGCATTTTCTTGTTGTTATACATACAGAAAATATATTTTCATTTGCTGTAAAATTACTAATTTGAGTGCAGAGCACCGAAATTTTCATAATCTAATGATTGATAAAACGCTGTCAAGTCTTCACGTTTACATATAAATTTATATATATATATATATATATGGATATAGTAAGAGTGTAAACTATTCATATCGTTTAAACTATTACTGTATTATCTCATGAAATACTTTCTAGAATTACTTTTACGTCATGTAAAGTATATAATCGTGATTTACTGCTGCTGTTTTTCGTTCAGAAAACACTGTATTACAAGTTGATTGAAAATTTTTTTCTTGTAACTTTGAAAAATAATAATTTTATGTTTTTTGTTTGTTATATGGTATTACGAAATTAACATTGATTATTAATTAATTATTAATGCTAAGTTCCCTCCATCTTGCTGTGATAATATTGATACGTTGTTTTGTATGATATGCATATGTTTGTCAATAACTGTAACTGTTATGCGTATGATTGCTATACTTTACTACCTACCTGCTTAATAACTAGTAAGTTAATGCAAAGTCAGTAAGAATGATGATGACAGTTAATATTGTGAATGCGTATTTTGAGATTATGATAAAATCTGTTCTCAGTTATGCTGGTGTTCTATATTTTTCAGCTCGTGGCTGATTATTATGATCCTAAAGTATAAATTATTAATATACATAAAATAACCTGTCTTATAATAATTATTACTACTACGCATAGCTGGATATACTTTATTTTACGTATCGTTTTTCTGCTTAATTTGAAAATGGAATATTAACTAGTCATCTAGTTTTGTCATCGTACATCCATAATTACGATATTGTGATTCAAGGCAGGTGCTGTCTATGTAAGAAATATTTGTATGACTACTTCTGTAACTTTTGCGTTGATATCATCAATATTATATTCAGGTCATTTTTCAATAATGTATCTTCTGAACTAAAATTACGTAAAATTTTGACAAACTTTACGAAACAACTTTGAGGGAGTATTCGATGAAGCAATTTTTCATTTGAAAATATCGTGCTCTTATTATTATTATTATTATTATTGTTTAATAATATTATTATTATTATGATAAAATGGAGATTTCATGTTGTCTACATCATTGACGGTAGATTATTTAAATTATAATTTATTATTGCTTGAAAATAAAGCATATTCATTGGGAAAAAACGCCTATTGAAATTTGGTGATTATACTGTGCAATGTAATTTTTCCATGATAGTAAGAGTCGATAAGAGAGTTTACAGCAGCAATTAAGGATAACTTAAAGAATAAGAAGAAAGTGACCTGTTTCCTCTACTGTAACTTGATCATTACCAATTCATAATACAATTTCAATTAGGAATTATTTTTCCATTTAAGACAAGAAAAAATATTTATTTTATCTTTCTCTTCATAAATTTTAAGTTCTTATAAAGTCATATAAAAGGAATAATTTATTTTCTCTTCCTGTTAGTACGGAGAAAATGAAAATGGCTTAATATAGCAAATAGTTGGTTTACTACTTTGAAAATTGATTCAGTAATAGAGTTTAATGGGCCATATATCACATACTGATCTTAACTGCTACTGGGGCACCAAAGTAAAGTATACGGGACTACCGTAATTGTCTAAGTAGCTGATGGATAGGATTCGTCAAATTGTAGTAAATTAAGAAAGCCGATTCGAAATTAATTCACTACGGTATGGAGAATCAATGTTCGAAGCGCGTTAAACATTTTTCGATTACTTCATTTATGTAATTTTTAAATTTTAATGTTATTAAACTTCTAGGAACTTTACTAATTGCATTACCAATGGCATTCACTTAGCCCATAATAACACTTCGTTAAACAGCTGGATGATCAAGGTGTTAATATTGCATCGCTCCAGCATAAGTGATAAGTTATTAGCCATGTAAATGACTAATTTGTTATTTGGAGGCTGTGAATAACATTAACAGAACTGTTAGCGATAAAATTTCTCATTCTAATGTACATGATTGTATTAATTCCACCATAATAAGGCGGTTGCAATTTCAATTTTGCATTACACGCTGTACGCGTATTCACAAGTAGCGTGGATCACAGTAAAATTATCAGCGTCTTGACCATGTTATTTTGTCTCTTATCGTTGCAATAATACATTAATCCAAAGTAATCTTTTGTACCTTACGTAATCTAAATATTATTTATTTTTTTAGCATAGAACACGGTATCTGTAGCTACTACTGTTAAATAGACTTGCAATATTGGTTCATAGAATGGAGACGCTATTTCTTTTTTCCATTTAAAATTTTACAGCGAAAAATTGGTCATAAATGGTTGCCGCTGTACATTGTGTCTAGGTTAAAGGATGATTGTAAAGGGATGCTATTCAGTAAAAGCAAATACATTATAAATAAAATTAGCTATTATTGGAAATATGATGCATGATTGATTAATTGATTGATTAATCAATTTAAAAACTTTACTCCAACTTAGTAGAATGTCTGCTTTATATAGACGGAGAATTTAATTGCGTAACCAAAAAATTTGAGCGTTGGCGTTGATGCATTAGCTAATGATAGAATATATCACTAATCACATTACACTCTATCGTACTGTTCCAGTAAGTCAAATTGGATTAAGGTTGTTGTAATGCTATTTTTAGCTTAGCTATATCAGTAAGATCGTTGTTTATGGTGCAGAATTTATAGAGGCAATATGGGGAATGGCCGGTAACTACATTTACAAATCACAGTAGTTCAGTCTTTTATTAATGAATCTTGTCCTTATTGGTAGTAATTAATTAAAACTACACATCGTAATATCTCAATATAGTAATCGCATTACTATCCTGTAAGTAAGGATTTTTCAATGGTGGAAGTACAATCAGTGTAACTTCATAAGATATTAAATTTTGACGATTGAAGTAAAAACTGCTGTACAGTAGCGGAATTAGTTACTAATAATAAAGTCCTACGGTTTTATGAATCGGCTTTACAGTAATTGTGATTGCAATGATTAATAAGTTATGAGGGTAAAAAATATAGTGAGACTACAAGATAGTCGAATTAGCTGTAGTGGTAGCGGTTCTTAATTAATTATCAATTAATAAAAAAGATTTTCCATATTGTACGGTAGATGAATTTTATGTCGTGGCGTGGCGTTGTCGTTACAGCTCATGGTAACCATTTGCTCGTAACCTTAAACTGTGCGACGGAGGTAATTCCCAACGGTGCCGTACGTAGCCTGTGGCTATTAATCCATATTATTCACATTAAAGATTGCTAAACGAGACATATTTTTTTGCTGAACCCCTTTAGTACCTACTGTGCAGCTCGGGGCAGCGATAGGATTATTTTTTTCCATGCGCTTTATCAAAGTAAAATTTCATGCAGAGTAAAACTGTCTGCTTTCACCTTATGGATTTTTTTTCAACCTTGCCCACGCATCTAACTTATCACTAAGCATAAGCTATGTAGAAATCTTTAAGGCCACTAGAACGTGGCATTGCAGTAAAAAATCTTTCTGTAAATCACTCCCTTCAACGGTTTTACGATTAATCCAATATTTTACGGTAATTATATTAATGCCACGCCTTTATCGATCAGGGCCGTACTAGAGTCCAGTGAATGCAAGCTAAAAGTACTGTGATTATAATGAGCATTCCTTTCACACCAGTACCACTTTTCCTCGTAATAAATTTTAATTCTTACAACATTGCTAATTTAAACCACAATGAAAACGTCTAATTATGACCATTATCGTTATTGCCATAATGACAATGCTAATCTTTCTATGGCAGAATATGATTGTGTCAACTTTGTTGTCACGACTGTTGTCTAAATCATATTGTTGGACTCATTTACCAGTTGGATACTATCAGACTAAATGATAAGTATTACAAGAATTTAGCTTTAAAGGTTATTCATAACTTATTGTCACGTAAATCGAGTTCAATAGTTCACTTACGTTGTATCAGTCGATACAATTCTGCTATTGATTTCTTTATTAATGAAATCAGATTGATTTAAATAATTGGTCGAAATATCTTCCCTG